CTCCTCCTCCTCTTCCACCCCCTCCTTCTCCTTCTTCTTTCCTCTTCTTCCTCCTCCTCCTCCCTCCACTTCTCTGCTGGTACTGGGACTCAAGGCTAGCGCTCTACCACTTTAGCCACACCTCTACTTTTAGATTGGCTTTTGGTGGTTAATTGGAGATAAGAGTCTCACAGAATTTACTACCTGGGTTGGCTTTGAACCATAATTCTCAGATCTCAACCTCCTGAATAGTTCTCAGATCTCAGCTTCCTGAATAGCTAGGATTATAGGCATTTTCTTTTTCTGATATTAATCACTCCAGCATTCTGTAATTTGTGCTAGCATTGCACCCCGTGCTTCTATTGAACCTGTTTATGTCTTCATATTTAAAATTGCATATGGGTAAGCAGTGCATAGTTGGGTCTTCTCTTTTTAACCAATCTGACAGTCTCTGACTTTGAATTAGGCCTCTAAGGACCATTTATTTGTGTTTAATTCTACCCAATGGAGAGGGGAAAACTCCAAAGAAATGACCTAAATTGAACTGTAACTTATATAGGCAAAGCTACACATGGAATGAAAATTCAGGCCAACATGCTTTCCCCATCCTTAAGAATACCAGTTTCAAAAGTCTTGATTTTTTTTAATGTTAATCTTCCTGTGGATGAAACCAGAATATTTATACTCTTTTATTCTTTTTTTCTTTTCCAGCAAGTAACTGGCAGAACTTTTGGTGATAAGGATTTTCGGACAGGATTAGAAAATGGAATCCTTCTTTGTGAGTAAGTACAACTTAGATTCTGTTTGGTGTTTTTTTTTTAACCTCAGAAACATCCTCAATACTGCTCACTTTATACAACTTTTAGTATTTTAGTTTTAATTTATTCATCATTTAAATATACAACTGAAGAAAAGAAAACATCTACTGGGGTAGGCAGGAAAGACAAGTCAGAGTGACTTGGTACAAAGCTGGGAGTGGTGGAGATTCTGGAAAATAGGGGAGGAGCATCTGGTAGGGGCTACTCTGTTTCTTTTATCTTTTGCTATATAGGAATTTGAGTCCAGGTAGTTTTGAGGATGTGGATCTAACTGAAGCAGATTTCCCCCCTTTAGAATCCCAAACACAAGCAGCTTGTGCCCAGCGACTGGCTTCTGTGTGTACTCACAGCATCTTGTCACCGTGTCAAGCTAGCTTGCTCCTCCACAAGCCTACTTTATGGGTGGATTCTGAGTGCTTCATCTGCATCATTGATTAAGTATGGACGATGATAGCAGCGTTTCTTGGCATATTTTGAAGTTTGGCTGCCAGTACTGCTATGGAAGCAGAAATGAAAGCTTTCTCAGCATTGGTTCTAGACACAAAATAAGCTAGAGTGTTAAGGTTGGTGTATGGCCTAAACTCCCAAATTAGACTTCAAAATTAGAATCTATTTAAATAGATTCTATAGTTTAGGCACTGATTTTTTTTGTTTTAATTGGATGTAACATACATGCAATGAAACACCGCTTCTAGATGTATAATCTGATAGCTTTTGAAAAAATATATTTATGCATATAACTTATAACCTAATGGACACACAGAGCAGGAAGGAAGAGTTTCCCTCAGAGCCCTCCCAGTGAATCTCAGATCCCTGGCAAACACTCCATTATGGTTTTTTCACCATAGCATGCTATCTGCTTCTGTGTGAGCCTTCTGTCACTGGAATCATACAGAATAGACTTTCAAAATATTGTTTGATGAGAAAGCTTGGATTTGGGAGCCTAAAAACGAAACATTCAAATCCTTACTTCATCTCTTACATCATTTAACCTTTCCTTTTAGTTTTCAAAGAAATTTCATGTAACCTTCTTGAATCTTCTTTTTTTCTTTCTAGATGGTGATAAATGTTTTCTTTTTCCTTCCTGTTTTTGGTGATACTAAGATTTGAACTCAGGACTTCACAAACAGTTGTTCTACCACTTGAGCCACACCTCCAGCCCTATATTTCATAGGCTTTTTGTAAAATTCACCAGGATAATATGGATAAGATGCTTTCAAAGATTATAGAGTGCTTACATGTTGCTTACATTGTAAAATCCACATAGTTCTTGTCACCAATTTTTGGGGCCTTTCATTGACCTTTGTGGTTCAAAGAAAACTCATTATACCCTGCCTGCTGTTTCTCCGCCCTGCTTCTCTTGGAGTCTCTTCCTCCCCTTGTACCATGCTTCCTCAGCCACTTCCTTCCCTGTGTTACCCAGAGCCCACACACAGAGATGCTGTAGTGAATCTGCACCTCCCCAGACAGTGGGCCAGGGCAGCTCCAAATGCTGCCCTGCACTGCTACCACTTGCTCTCCAGGGATCTGATGCTCAGCCAACTCCTGCTGTTCACAGACTCACCAGGAGCTGATCTCATGTATGTGGATAATGCTGTGCTAATACAAATGAAGTGGGTCCTTGGTACCCATACCTATTCATTCAGAATGTACTCTGGAGATTCCTATAGACAACCAACTTTCTACTATATTCCCTGAAGAAAGTCTATCAGGTGAGCTTTGGATTCTCAGTGGGCTAGTCTGGTGACAAGGCTGTGGGTCTGGAGACATTAAGCACTGAATCTGTCTCTAATCTAGCCAAAGATGCTGAGTTAGAGGATGGAGGTATGCAGGTTTGCAGGCACACTATCCATTGATAGGTCCTCTACAAACACTTTGGTGATGGCAGGGTGTTGGAGTGGAGAGATGGGCGATCCAGCCGTGATTAGGCAATGCGTGGTGAGAACAACACAGAAGTGTATGCCATAGTCATTCTGGATGGAGAACTGGTTTTTGGATGAGGAGAGGGAAGGAAACAGCTTGGGGAGTGAGAAGAGGGAGGGATGCCAGTCAGTGGTCCTCAAAGGAACCTTGTCTTTGGAGATTATAAGAGAATGCCTAAGGCTGCGCCATCCTGTAGAGCCGGAGCTCTGTGCTGTGGAGGAGTCCTAAACATGTAAGAATGCTATAGTTTCAACTTCAGAAGCCTAAGCAGTTTGGCTCTCCTTAGAACAGGGGCCTCATGCCATGTAGTTGTCTTTTGAGATTTAGCCAGAGCTTTCCATATTTTTTGTGTTTTTTAAAAAAATTTTTATTGTGAAAAATAAAATAAAATGAGGCCAACTAAGGTAAAAAAAATTTTTTTTTATTGTGAAAATACCGAGAGGTTACAATTACATGGGCAAGGTAATGAGTACATTTCTTATTTTGTGTTCTTTAAAATTAAAGCTCAGTGAGTGTCTCGTGTGAGTGTTAGGCTATAAATACAACTGTGGCCAACATGCAAACAGCATTGACGTTTCCTTTTGTTCTAAACCCTCTCGTCTTTTTGTATGGGTTGGATCTAGCCTCATGAGACCTCATGTCTTTTGTTCACCTAAAATGCCCTAGGTTGTCTGTGAGCCGATAGGCAGCCTGGTTCTCACCAAGTGGAACAGCATCTTCTGGGTCTAGGACCTGTCTCAAACTTATCTGTGGCCTACATAAGGTACAATGACAAACCCATTTTATAGAGGAAGACACTGAGGCTTGGCCAAAGTCACACAAAAAAGTTTAAGAGAAAATTTTAAATTCAGGAAGTTTGATTCCATAGCTTTGGCTCTTACCCTTGTGCTGTTAATAGAATTGAGTTGTTTTTGGTTTGTTTGTTTGTTTTTCTGGTCAGTCATGGGGCTTGAACTCTGGGCCTGGGGCTGTCCCCTGAGCTCTTCAACTCAAGGCTAGCACTCTACCAGTTGAGCCAAAGCACCGCTTCTGGTTTTCTGGTGGTTTGTTGGAGATAAGAGTCACATGGACTTTCCTGCCTGGGCTGGATTTGAACCGTGATCCTCAGATCTGAATAGCTAGGATTACAAGTGTGAGCCACCAGTGCCTGGCATGAGATTTTTTTTTTAATGAGAGAAAAGAATAAGAGGTTGCAGGTGAGGGTTGGAGTGAGAGATCAATGTCAGAATGTCCAAACACGAGAGAACACTGGGTCTCAGGTAGGAAGGACTGGTTGGGGCAGGCGGTTTTGAAGAATGAAAGCACAGTGTACTTAAGTAGGCTCTGTTGACATGAGAAGTCAAGTTCAGAGGGTGAGGCAGTCAGGGAGGAGAAAAAATAAGGGGAGGGTAATTGGGGTACACAGAGGTTTTAGCCTTTCTCAGTAGGGCTATCCAGACCAGATAAAGGCAAGTGAGAGCAGAGAACTGGACCAAAGATTAAAGATGAGAGAGAAAAGATGGACACCTACCTGATAGCCATACGCAAGAAGGGAAATGATTAGCATCAAACCACGGTGAGACATCTTTAACTTCACATGGCTTTGCATACTTTGCATGGTGATCCTCAGTGTGTCACTACAGCAGAAACCTGTGACTTACAAGTAAGCCACAGTCAGTATAAAATAAAGACAGGAACTCCATGGAATTATAATAGATGGGTTTTGCTCTCAGCATCTTCCTCTTTCCCTGTCCTTTCTGCAAGTGGTGAGTAGTGGCAGTTTGGGGTGTTAAATGCTTGCATACTGTGAGTCCTCTGTTGAGAGTTTCATAAAAGGTCTAAGGTCCAAGTGTAATGGAGCCACAAACGTGTCACAAGTGTGATGAGGTCAGAAATAGTCATCAAATACTGCTCCCGGCCTTTGAGGACGCAAGGTTAAAAAGAAAAGATTGTGAATAACCAGTCGCTGAAAAGGTGGTTCCCAGAGTGGCATGGGCTATGAACCTGTCTGTTTCTGATACCCACATCAGACTGCCTCAAAATAATTCCAGAAACACAGCTCTCTGCCCGACTCTGATTCTATTATTTAACTATAACCCGGTGTAAGCTCATCTAGATGAGAGGGAGGCAAATTATAGTCTTCAGACTATTTTTGTACAGGCCTTTTTATTTTATTTTTATTGTTTGTACTAGTACTGGGGCTTGAACTCATGGCCTGGGTGCCGTCCCTTAGCGTTTTCACTCAAGGCTGGCACATTTCCACTTCTATCTTTCCTTTCTTGTGATTAATTGGAGATGAGAGTCTCATGAACTTTTCCTGCTTGGGCTGGCCTTGAGCTGTAATCCTCATATCTTAGCCTTCTGAGTAGCTAGGATTACAAGCATGAGCGACCAGCTTCTGGCTATACTGATCTTGCTAGCAGTGTTTTTTAAAAAATATTTTTAAAGGATTGTAAAGGAAAGTCAATGAAACATAGGCCCATATGTGGCTTATAAAACCTACAATGTTTATTATCTGGCTCTTTACAGAGAAATTTGACCAGGCTAAAAGGACTGTGGAATTAATTTTAAATGTCAATTGTTTATTCTTGTTAAGTATTTGAGTTTGGTCAGTGCAAGCTGCTATGTGAGCAAAGCGAATAACTTTTTGTACAAATTTTGCTGAGGAATTTCTTTACAAATACTTTCCAGCCCCTCAGGCTATTACTTTGAACAATTTTAAATTTAAAGTTCTAGAATAATATAAATGTTATAATAAAAGGGTAATAGCATGGTTCAAGTGGTAGACAAGTGCCTAACAAGTGCTAGGCCCTGAATTCAAACTCTAATACTGCTTAAATATAATAATTTAGTAATAATAAAATGAATAACTGCATTGCTATACCAAGCATATTAGTAGTAATATCCTCATATCCATAGTTAGTACTAATTATCCTCATTTTGCTATACCTGAGTGATTTATTTATGTATGTATTATGTGCATCTCTTTTTTTCCTGAACTAGTTGAAAATAGGATGCAAATATGAAATTTAATTCCTAAATGCTGCAATCTATCTTGTAAC